ATCACATGTCATGCTTTTCCGGTTATTACCCTTCCCCTTGTATGTAATGAAGGTTTTTCTGCATGTAAACGGTCTGCAGAGTCAAAACCCTTAAAGTACACCCTGTAGCGAGTAAAACTCCCAAAAACGCCTCATTGGTGAAACGTCATCATCCATTTGATTCTTCCGGGTACGTGCTTACGAAAGCACGTACCCGGAACTAAATGGGCCAATCCGTGGAGCCGTTACGTTACGTCCGCGGAGCCGTTACGTTAAGCCCCCGCTGATTGGTCCAAATTGACCAATCCACACACACACTCAGTGCAGGCAGCTCTGCTGATCTCTCCTCCCTGGCTGCAGGCTGATAACAGACAGTTGGGATCGCGGCAAAATTCTCTCTGCAGACCCATTCTCACAGCGTTTATCAACCTTTTTCTTACTTACTTCGGCTGCGAGTTTGTGTGTGCTCAGGATGAGTTTGGCTGTGTATGGCTGTGTATCGCTAAACAAGCAAACAATACCTCCACGGAGCTCAGCGCGATTCACAACGTCCCGACCAATCAGAGCACACTGTGCTCACAGGGAGGGTGGGGGCTGGAGCTATTGGAGCTACAACGAGCCGTTAAAGGCAGAGAGTGAAATTCAGTGAATACACGTAGTATACAGAGATGCTGTATGAGAAACCAATGTGAGTTTGGAAAATTGCACAATATAAATCTATTCTAGTAGAACTCAACAATGGAATTATTGTCAGTGGAAATGGCCATGACATGGGACCTTTAAGTACATTTCAAAGCCTCTTTACTTTTACTTGAGTAAAGAAGTTTAGTCAGTACTTCTACTTTTACTAGAGTATTTTTGAACACAAGTATCTGTACTGTACAGATATTTCATCGTCTATAGGCGACACCTTTTAGCAAGTGTCATGAAAATAGTGCCAGTAGTTTTCTGTAAACCTGCTGAAAACATAAATTCCCAAACACCTGATAGCAGCAATTTTAAAGAGATGAAATCGTCTGTAGAACAAGTGATAAACAACAGAATTACAGACCTTATTTGTCGATTAGTGCAGATTAAATCATTACCAACTGCTATTAACATGAAGATAAAGCATATGTAATGGCTATTGCTGGAATAGGCAGTGAACTTGGTGCGATGTGTCGAGTTACCGGCTTCAAAATATGAGGATTTGACTGGGAGAAATCTCACACACTGACGTCATGCCATGTTTTGTTATGTCAGCATTGTCTATACATTCTTTCTTGGGATGCCATCGAAACAGAAGCGAGGTTTATCTCAGGTCAGGAGACGAGCTTCTTGTTTGTCGGAGGTCAGTCGGGCTGAATGAGAGGAAACGCTGCGGAGGATGCAGATCTGAGTTTCTCTGTTGACACACTGACACCTGTAACGGGAAGACAACAGGAAGACAGTCTCTTCTGGTGAACTTTGAGCGCCGAGGCTTCAGAGAAAGCAAGAGTTTCAAAGAGAAAACACATTGAGATAAGAGGCAAAGGCAGGAAGAGCAATGGCAGTGTTTCAAGTCATAGGAGTTTCTAATTACGTTCCTATCAGTTCCTTAGATGCTTTTGAGGAAAAATCTGAGTTGTTGGGTGGGTGTAATGCCCAAAATGTCATCGCAATATAGGTCATGTCTTATCTCGATAATACTGTGTTTAATGACTGAAGAAATCTGAGTCAACTAAGACCAACACCACAGATTAGTCTCAGATTCTGCAGCCATTTTGTGTGTCTCTTCCCAAGCTGTTTGACAGTCTTCTGAGAGACATATGAGCTCATCTCTGGTAAAAACAAGCTTTTTTTGCACGATTCTTTGTAGAGAAACTACATTTTAAAGGTCTATCTTCAAAAACGTTCGAGTGGAAGTCGACTCCGAGTTTCTCTAGTCCTGGTTAGGCCTGGTTGAATCTGAAAAATATCCTGTTATCTAATGTAATGATGTCATAATGAACACATCAAAGGTGAGAGTATTTATAAATACGTTGTGGTCTTTCAGCGAGTTCACAAATGCCATCTTTCAAATGTCAAGACAGCCTTTTTTTAACCTATTTATACGCATGATTTGCACATAGAAAGTGTGTATTTAGTTTAAGTAAAAAGTCAACATCTAATTTAAGACCATGGGCAAAAGTACACACATCCTTTCCTCAAGTAGAAGTACAGATACTCGTGTTTAGAAATACTCTGGTGAAAGTAGAAGTACTGACTTAACTTCTTTGCTCAAGTCAAAGTAAAGAGGCTTTGAAATGTACTTCAGTAAAAAGTACCCATAACTAGCAGCTGTTTTAAAGAGTACCTGACCTCCCTTTATATTAATAGAACAATAATGTCATTGTTAGCTAATGAATGTTTCCATGCTGAACAACGGCAACATGACAACGTTTTCATTGGTCCCTCTTCTTTAGAGAAGACCAGGAAATGATGGATACACGGATCGTGTTCAAATCAATAGGCACGCAATGACTCTAAATAATAATGATCACGCCACCAAACACACATTCAGACTAAAGGAACCAGCCTGTTTGGAAAATGTGAGAAGTAGAAAGTACAGGTATTTGTGTTCAACATGTGAGAAGTAGAAAGTACAGGTATTTGTGTTCAAAATGTAAGAAGTAGAAAGTACAGGTATTTGTGTTCAAAATGTAAGAAGTAGAAAGTACAGGTATTTGTGTTCAAAATGTAAGAAGTAGAAAGTACAGGTATTTGTGTTCAAAATGTAAGAAGTAGAAAGTACAGGTATTTGTGTTCAACATGTAAGAAGTAGAAAGTACAGGTATTTGTGTTCGACATGTAAGTGAAAGGAGTCAAGAATGTGACAACTTGTGTTTAGGACATGAGAAGATGAAGAAATGTAAACGTGTGGTTTATGTGACAGAGAAGATGAAGAACTGTACAACTGTGGGTTTATGGACATGAGGTGAAAGATGAAGAGTGTACAAACTTGTTTTATGGAATGAAAGATGAAGAGGTGTAAAACCTTGTGTTTGTGGACATGAAAGATGAAGAATCGTACAACTGTGTGTTATGGACATGAAAGGATGAGAAGAATGTGGACAACTTGTTGGGTTTATGGACATGAAGAGATGAGAGAGTGGTACAACTTGTGTTGTATGGGACATGAAGAGGATAGATAGACAGTGTCGACAACTTGTGTTTATGGACATGGAAAGACGGAAGGAATGTACAACTTGTGTTATGGCACATGAAGATGAAGATTACAACTTGTGTTTATTGGACATTGAAAGATGAAGAAGTACAACTTGTGTTTAT